ACATAATACTTGATAGTAAATGTATTACTGGTTTATGTATTTACTATACTGTACTTTTTATTATGTTAGAGTGTATTCTCTCTACTTACTTACTTTTTTAAAAAGTTTATTGTAAAGCAGTCTCAGAAGAAAGGATTGTTATCATAGGAGATGACAGTTTCATGCCTGTTATTCTCCTGAAGACCTCCCAGTGGGATAAGATGCGGAGGTGGAAGACAGTGATACTGACGATCCTTGACCCTGTGTAGGCCTAGGTTAATGTGTGTTTGTGTCTTTGTTTTCAACCAAAGAAAAAGCTTAAAAAGCAAAATATGGGCCGGGCACAGTGGCTCACGCCTGCAATCCCAGCACTTTGGGAGGCCAAGGCGGGCGGATCACGAGGTCAGGAGATCGAGACCATCCTAGCTAACACGGTGAAATCCCATCTCTACTAAAAATACAAAAAATCAGCCGGGCATGGTGGCGAGCGCCTGTAGTCCCAGCTACTCAGGAGGCTGAGGCAGGAGAATGGCATGAACCCGGGAGGCAAAGCTTGCAGTGAGCTGAGATCACGCCACTGCACTCCAGCCTGGGTGACAGAGCGAGACTCCGTCTCAAAAAAAAAAAAAAAAAAAAAAGTAAAATATGGGTAGGCAGAGGAACAAAAAGTAAAACAAATAAATAATAAATAATATCTTTAAATAAAGTTTCTAGAATAAGGATATAATGAAGAAAACATTAGCCAGGCATGGTGGCATACACCAGTTGTCCTAGCTAGCTGTTGGGAGGCTGAGGTGGAAGGATCACTTGAGCCCAGGAGTTCAAGACCAGCCTGGGCTGTTGCCTAGGCAACAGAGCAAGAGCTCAACTCTTTTAAAAAAAAAAAAAAAGTGATTTTAGTGTGACAGGAAAAAAAGAGAAAATATTTGTATACAGATGTACAATGTGTTTTAAGCTAATATTACAAAAGAGTCAGAATGTTAAAAAATGTAAAAATTTATAAAGTAAAAAAATTACAGTAAGCTAAGGTTAATTTTTGAAAAAAATAATTTTTTGATTTAGTGCAACCTAAGCTGTACAGTGTTTCTAAAGTCTACAGTAGTGTACAGTAATGCCCTAAGCCTTCGCATTTACTCACCGCTCACTCACTGACGCATCCAGAGCAACTTCCAGTCGCGCAAGCACCATTCATAGTAAGTGTCCTGGTCAGGTGAACCATTTTTTATTTTTTGTACTGTATTTTTCCTGTACTTTGCTTGTTTAGATATGTTTAGAAACACAAATACTACTGCATTACAATTGCCTATTTACTCAGTACAGTCACATGCTGTACAGTTTTGCAGCTTAGGACCAACAGGTTATATACCGTATAGCCTACATGTGCAGTAGGCTATACCAGCCAGGTATGTGTAAGTACATTCTATGATGTTCACACAACAACAAAATCACCTAATGATGCATTTCTCAGTATGTATCACCAATGTTAAGCAACACACGGCTGTATTTTCATCTCTTTTTCTTCACATTGCATGTATGCTTCTTGACATTGCTTAAATTTATAAATCAAGGTCCTATATATACTTATATTACTATCGTATTAATGCTAATAATATTCTGTAAACTATTCCATCTTGATTAAGGCCATCAGTGCCCATTAAAAATTTTTTTTAATTGGGTTGAATGCCCTATTCGGTTTGAATTTTACATTCCCACAATGTGTGGCAGCTAATGCTTCTGGCACATCTATTGAGAACATAAAAGTTCTCCTGGAACTAACAAATTACTTTCCTTCCAACACAATTATATAATCTGAGAGTTGAAAAGCACCCTAGAGATTATTCTGTGGTCCAAAATCCCTCCCGATTAAGGAATCTCATCTAAAACTACTCAACTCTGTCCGCAGGAAGAGATGCTAATCTTTAGATTCCCCATGACACAGTGCTGCCGCCATCGTAGGCTCTTTAATACATGCTTTTTGTTGTTTTTAATACACGTTTGTTGAACTGAAGAAATCTAAAATGGACGTATTTCACTCATTTTCTTTTTCTTCCCAGGCTCTAGCTGTAACACCCACTGCATCTGTAATTGAAAGCTTTGCATGATTCCTCTGCTCATTAACTAACATTCAAAAAGAAATTCAATAAAGGAAACTAAATGTTTCAATGCATTAAAGAAACTTCATTTTAACAGTTTAAAATTTTAAGCTCCTGGACTGGCAAAGTGGCTCTTGCCTATAATCCCAGCATTTTGGGAGGCTGAGATGGGAGGATCTCTTAAGCCCAGGAGTTTGACAATAGCCTGGGCAACAAAGGGAGAACCTGTGATATGGTATGGCTCCGTGTCCCCACCCAAATCTCATCTCGATTTGTAATCCCCACCTGTGGAGGGAAGGACCTGTAATCCCTCCCATGTGTTGAGTGAGGGAAGTAACTGGATCATGGGGAGTTTCCCCCATGTAGTTCTCATGCTAGTGAGTGCTCACGAAATCCAATGGTTTTATAAGTGTTTGGGAGTTCCTCCTTCGCTTCTCTTTCTCCTGCTGCCTTGTGAAGAACGTTCTTACTTCCCCTTTGCCTTCCGCCATGATTGTAAGTTTCCTGAGGCTTCCCCAGCCATGTATAACTGTGAGTCAATTAAACCTCTTTCTTTATAAATTACTCAGTCTCAGGTATTTCTTTATAGCAGTGTGAAAATGGACTAATACACCCTGTCTCCACATAAAATTTAAAAATCAACCAGGTATGGTGGCTTGTGCATGTAGTCCCAGCTACTTGGGAGGCTGAGATGGGAGGATTGCTTGAGCACAGGAGGTTGAGGTTGCAGTGAACCATGATCACACCACTACACTCCAACCTGCGTGACACAGTGAGACCCTGTCTCAAAAAAATAAATAAATAAAGGCCGGGCACGGTGGCTCATGCCTGTAATCCCAGCACTTTGGGAGGCTGAGGCGGGCGGATCACAAGGTCAGGAGATTGAGACCATCCTGGCTAACACGGTGAAATTCCGTCTCTACTACAAATACAAAAAATTAGCCGGGCGTGGTCGTAGGCACCTGTAGTCCCAGCTACTCGGGAGGCTGAGGCAGGAGAATGGCGTGAATCCAGGAGGCAGAGCTTGCAGTGAGCTGAGATCGTGCCACTGCACTCCAGCATGGGAGACAGAGCCAAGACTCCGTCTCAAAAAAATTAAAAAATAAAAAATACAATATAAAAACTAGCCAAGCATTGTGGCAGGCGCCTGTAATCCCAGCTACTCAGGAGGCTGAGGCAGGGAGAACTGTTTGAACCCAGGAGGTGGAGGTTGCAGTGAGCTGAGATCAAGCCACTGCACCCCAGCCTGGGTGAAAGAGGAAGACTTCGTCTCAAAATAAATAAATAAATAAATTTTTAAAAATAAAAATGTAAGCTCCTCGAATCGCCTGAACCTGGGAGGCGGAGGTTGCAGTGAGCCGAGATCCGGCCACTGCACTCCAGCCTGGGCGACATAGCAAGACTCTGTCTCAAAAAAAAAAAAAAAGAAAAAAAGTAAGCCCTAGAAGGCAAGTCTTATGCCTGGTCTGACTTGTAAGATGCTGTGAGGTAGCCTAAACAGACAAGTAAGCTTTCAACATTAATGTTCCTAATGTCAGTGCATAATAAAACATTTAACAGAAAATGGAAAATTATGCCTTTGTTAGTTTGCTTATGATCTACAGTTTTCAACTGATCAAAAAGACGTTTTCCATTTCTAGTATGATTTATTATTATTATTTTTAATTTAGAGATGGGGGTCTGTTGGCCAGGTTGGTCTCGAACTCGTGGCCTCACCACCTTGGCCTCCCAAAGTGCTAGAATTACAGGCGTGAGCCACCGCGTCCGGCCTGGTGTGATTTTTCAAAACAAATAGTCTTGCATCATTTGTGCAACTAAACTATACTTATAATTGGGGTGCTCACAGATTTAGGCATACTAGTGTAGTAAGACATGCTATTATGCTAATCAGCTTTCCCTTCAGTTAAGAGCCTGTGATCCCATCTGATTTCCCATAACATGATATGATAATGAAGAGAATAAAGCCTCTGGAGCGGTAAGCACCACGAATAATTTTATTTTACTCAAATATGCATTCCAAAACAGTGTATAATTTACAGCACGGCCCTGGTTAGCTATTACAATGCATCTGTTTTGGGGACTTTTACAATACACAGTAGGATACAAAGCATACGTTTCCAAATCTCCTTTCTTTCTGTTTTGCTGAAAGGGCGCACACATGGGATCCCTTAACAGCACAATTCACTAACTAATTTTCTTCAGGCAGTAATTCAAATTCCCACTTCCTCCTAAATACCTCTGGACAGCAACTCCTGGCAATCCATCTGTCTCTTTCGCCACAACTTCTTTTCATAACTAACGGGTCAAGTTCCTTTCCCCATTTCGACACCATGCACTGTACTGCGGCCCTGCCACCATAGCCCACTGCTGAATGCTGGAGTATAACATATTGGATTTCACTGTCCTTCACTGTTTGCAGTTTAACTGCCATTTTACCACAATGCACACAAGAGAAATGCATTCCCACAGGCATCTTATGAATTTCCAAAGCAGCTATTCTTTGTGGATTTACAAAACATGTGCTTCTCTGAACTCCCTTCATCACCACAGAAACGGCTTTGGGAAGCCGAGATTTTTGTTTAAAGTACCCTATCTATTATAAAAAGAAACTGACTCTAAAACATTTTTATTTTCCTAGCTAATTTAATTCTAAGGCTCTTCCCACAAGGCAGTGGAGGAACGTCAGAGCAAAAATATTAAATCCTGCTTTTGGTCTTCCCAATTAATATGAAACATTGTCAGCACACAAAGATTATTGTATCAAATGTCCTTTCTTCTCAGACTACACCATAAAGGCTACCCAGCGCACTGTAAAATAAACAGCTGGCTGTGGCTTATGCACAACGCCCTAAATCTTCTGAAGACACCCCCACCCCCACCCCTCGGCTTTGGGCTCACAGACACCTAATCCCTCGGCAAACCCAAAACCTGCCAATGAAGCGCACTATTTCTCTGCCACAAAGGCCGGCCCGCGCCTCGTGCACACCAGCCTCCGCACACATGTGCCTGGCTGACAAGTGCGGAGCGGCTCTTCCTGGATCAAAGCCGTTGGCCTGAACCGAAAGCCGCACTCTTCCCAGCCCACTGCCTTCTCCCGCGGCCGCTCTCCCCGGTAACAGGCGGCCGAACCGAAGCGCTCCGGCCGCAAGCCGGTCACCCCCTCC